TAAAGCTATACCACTGGAACCTTAATCCCAGGGAGATTCTAGGCTCTCCGAAATCACTCTTGATGAGCCATCTCTGGCCTGTGTCATATTTTGTCCCTGTTTGGAATGTGTTCTCTCTTTTTCCTGGGAAATTGCTACTTCACTGTTCTCCATCACACTACCTCCTCCTCTGTAGGGTACCCTCCATCACAGGGTATCACGAATGAGCCCCTGGACTCCTCTCTGGCTGCGAATTCAGAGGAGGAAGATGAGAGTTTGAGTCGTCAAGAGTCAAATGTTGATCAGGATCGGGGCTCGGAGGGTGCTAGCCAGACGGAGCAGCCTCAGCTAGGTCAATCAGATGAGCGACAGACTGAAGTTGAGGGAGGCGAGCCCCACTTGCAGCAAGTTGGCCAGGAGGCTCCAGGCTAGTACTGAGAGCAGCTGCCACCCTTTAACAAGGAGGAGGAGGTGGAGTCCATCCCTCCTCCTGATCCAAGGACATGTAGAGCAGAGAGGAGACAGGCACAACATCAGTCAGCTAGACTCGCAGTGGTCCCCAACCACCGGGCCCCGGTCCATGGATCATTTTGTACCGGGCCGCCTATTTTGCTTGGGCGCCGCCATCTTGTTTCGACGGCGCTTGAGAAAGTGCTTCCGGGTGAGCTTGTCAGTTGTCGGTTGGAAAGCGGTGTTTGGGTGCTGAAGGAATCCTCGCGCCTTAGTTTCGTCGAAGAGGGGGGCGGCGGCTTCGAATGAAGAGCCGTCCCGATGGCGGTGGAGTCTCGCGTTACTCAGGAGGAGATTAAGAAAGAGCCTGAAAAGCCCATCGACCGCGAGAAGGTACAAAGGAGGAGTTGAAGGTGGCGGGGAGAAGCGGGGGACGGCTGGCTGGCCGGTCGCTCGGCTCGCCTTGCCTTGGTCGTGCGTGCTGATGCCGGTACCGGTCCGTGGATCATTTTGTACCGGGCCGTGGTACAAAAAAGGTTGGGGACCACTGAGCTAGAGCACTCGCAAGGAGGCAACCTCACCTTTTGTGAAGGGCTGCACCGGTGTTGTCTACTTAACCCTGCCGTGAGGACTTGAGTGTTACAGGAACAACGTGCCCAGTTCCGTGCCTTGTCTGCTTGTGTTGTGTATCCTGGTCTGTTTGACTTCAGACTGTGTCCATTGGACTCGGTTACCCAGCGACTCTCTTGCTGTACTGAGCTTGGAATCCGGATCTGCTCAATGGAGGTGCTTTCTGAGGACTTATTTGGGGGAGGGGGGCTTGAATAAACACCTATAGAACTCTTGTGTGTGTATGGGGAGTGGGGCAGCACACAGGGACACCCTGCATTTATGGAAGTACTGCGTTTTGCATGTAGAAAGCTTGCTTTCCATCTGGACATTTTTATCTCCTGGGGTGTCATGCCCCTGGTGGAGACTGACACTGAGCAGTCAGAGGAGGACCCAAGCCCATTCCCTATCCATCCTAGGGCACACAGGGAGGAGAGGATCAGGGTGAAACGTGGTCTACTCGGGAGGAGAGGGTCATGATCCTCTTCGGGGTTGCAGGAGTGAGATCTGCATAAGAGTTTGGACCTGCATGCTAACAAATGCTGGAGACAAATTAGTGTTTTATTCTTGAATGAGGTTTATCTTGGTTGACGTTCTTCCAATGGACTGTCCCTGGTTATCTTCCTGAAGTTGGCAATTATCTATCCTGGCCTGTCGTGGAACTTGATTCAGTGCGGTTTGTTTTTGGTTTCTGCTTCGTTATCAGCTCTTTGAATTTGAACTGTGTTTCTTTCCTTTGAAATGTCATTTTGAAAATAGTTTACTCCTCCACTTGTGAACAATTCAAACAGCGAAGCCAAGTTGAAGGCATGAAAGGACTTTCATTTACGTTTTGGTTTTTTTGTTATATTTCTGGTATACTCTGGGTCATCTCATGGGGGATAATGGAGTCTGGAATGGGACAACTTGCTGCTGGCAGCTCGCCACCGCGAAGTCGCCTGCTGACTCCCAGCTGCCAAATCCCTGCAGGACACTTCTGCATGGCTAATTTGCCCCAGAGGCAGCTCGCTGAAGGATGCCGGAGGGAGAAGTGAGCGAGTGGTTAGGCAGATCGTGGAGTGCGTCGGGAAGGCAGTAGCAGTCAGGGGGGTTCCCATTTTCACACCTCCGACTCCCCTGCTGCGTCAGGCTCCGACTGGAAGAAGCAGCAGTGGTGGCAGTTGGGACGAGCAGTGGGAATGTGGTGGTACCTAGGGCCTTCCCATTTTCACACAGATACACACACACACAGTGCTGCTGTGTTGGCTTCAAGCCTGGTGCGGCGGCTGGTGCTCCAAGCCCAGCATGGCGGCAGTAGTGGCAGGGGTGTGAACATGGAAATCTCCCAGTTGAGACACTTCCCCACCACCCGCCCCAACGCGCTCTGCGCTCTACTAACCTACTTGCCTACATGACTCTTCCTCCAGCCGCCCACGGCAAATTGTCTCCACGGTCAGTTGCTATGTACAGGTGTTGCATTAACAGAGGGATAACAATTAAGATCAAGTGAGGTACTAATATCACTCTATAAAGCCTTAGTAAGACCACACCTAGAGTACTGCATCCAGTTTTGGTCACCACACTATAAAAAAAGATGTTGAGACTCTAGAAAGAGTACAGAGAAGAACAACCAGGATGATTAGGGGACTTGGAGACTAAAACATATGAAGAACGGTTGCAGGAACTGGGCATAGCTAGTCTAGTGAAGAGAAATACCAGGGGAGACATGATAGCGGTCTTCCAATATTTGAGGGGCTGCCACAGAGAGGAAGGGGTCAATGTATTTTCTGAAGCACCCGAAGGCCAAATAAGGAATAATGGATGGAAACTGAACAAGGAGAGATTTAACCTGGAAATAAGGAGAAACTTTCTGACAGTGAGAACAATCAACCAAAGGAACAGCTTTGCCTTCAGAAGTGGTGGGAACTTCATCACTTGAGACTTTCAAGAAGAGATTGGACTGCCATCTGTCAGAAACGGTGTAGGGTCCCCTGCTTGGGCAAGAGGTTGGACTACAAGGTCCCTTTCAACTCTGATTATTTGTTATCTGGTGTCCTACGGCGATTTGGCAGCTGTGACTTGGCAAAGGTGACAAGAGACGCGGGTTACTTGTCATTCTGGGCAGAGACAAGCCAGTGGGTCCTAATCGCAGAGGTCCTGTGTGCTGCAGAAGGTTCTAGAACAGAAATTGTGCTTACGATCTGCATGGGACAGCAGTGGGCCTCTTGGCATGGATTTAGATTCACGCATTGAAAAAAACCCAATAATGGCAGAGAAACATTAGATCAAAGGCAGTTTGACCAAAATGTTTTTAGCTTTGGGGCCTTTACAACTCCCTGAGGGATTGTGCTTTTTTTAAAACATGCCTTTTGAGCAAGATTGGTAGATTAATTCCTGGAAAAGTTGCAGCCATAGAATTGGTAAGTGTCTGGGTTCCTTGCTGCCTAACCTCAAAAGTGACGTCTAACTTTGCGTAGGTTTTAAGTTACTGGAGAATAAATTTTGGTTGAATGTCAAAGCAGGTCAACAGTGAAGCTAATTCTCTATAAAGAAGTGTACTTCTCAACTTTGTCAAGTTTAGGATGTGTGGGCTTCAACTTCCAGAATTCCTCAGCCAGCATGATGGCTGAGGAATTCTGGGGATTGAAGTCCATACAACTTAAAAGTTGCTGAAGTTGATCAAAATTGCCCTGGAGCAAAAGGGTTGCAACCAGATGCTACAAGGCTGCTGAAAGCATTCAGTGAATCTCTATGGAGATTCTCAGTCATCCATGTCATGGATGTCCCAAAAGTGCTTTCTTTCAAAAGGTAATTAGACTTTCTTGTTTTGCTTGAAGATGTTTCGCTTTTCATCCGAGAAGCTTGTTCAGTTCTGATGAAATGGTGGAGAATGGAAAGATTTATATTCCTTGCAGTCATCTGGTCATTAGTTCTCTTTCTGAGAGTCATTTGAGGCCACTGGGAGGTTTTATCTGTGCCCTCAGGGTCACCTGAATCATGCAGTCTGCCATTTTCCTGGAAATCCATTCATACTCCTGCACCATTGGACCAGACGACTGCAAGGAATATCAATCTTTCCCTTCTCCACCATTCAGTCAGAACTGAAGAAGCTTCTTGGATAAGAAGTGAAATGTCTTCAAGCAAACCAAAAAGGCCGTTGCCTTTTGAAAGAAAGCACCTTCAGGGACACTCAGTTAATCTTTCAGTGGTCTTCCAGAAGTTATTGCAAGTTGAGGACTACCTCTATAGCCGTGATGGCGAACCTATGGCACGCGTGCCACAGGTGGCATGCAAGCCCCAGACAAACTTACCGCACTGCGCATGCGCACACCTCCCAGCTGAGTTTTGGCCCTTTTGAGGCTGTTTTCGCCCTCCTGGAGGCTCAAGAAAAGCCTCTGCATCCTCGGGAGGCCGAAAAACGGGCCTTCCGGAAGTTCCGAAACGGGCCCATTTTCAGCCTCCCAAGGCTCCAGAGACTTTTCTCGAGCTTCTGGGAGGGTGAAAATGGCCTCAAACCGGCTCCAAAGGCCCTCCAGAGGCTGAAAAATGGTACTTCCGGTATTTGCGGAATGCCTGTTTTTCGGCCTCCCGCGGCTCCAGAGGCTTTCCTCAAGCCTCCAGGAAGGCGAAAATGGCCTCAAACGGGCTGAAAATCAGCTGGGAGGCATGCGCAGGTAAGGGGGCAGGGGTGTTGCATGCGCAGGGGGGCGGGGCGCATTGTATTGTGGGTGTCGGCGCACGCTTTTGGCACACCATAACAAAAAGGTTCTCCATCACTGCTCTATAGCTTTTCTGGTCAGGTGACCTCCAGGTGTATTAACAGCTACAACTACCAATTGTCTCCAGCCAACGCGGCCTCCCTCTGAAGAGCACGAGGTTAAAGGGGGAAGAGTTAACAAAATAGTTTGCAAGGCTCGATTTACTCTTGGTTCCTAGGAAAGCATCAGAAGTCAACTCAGCTTCTTCCTTCCTTCCTTCTTCAGAGAAAATGGAGATCTCGCTGGGCCAGTGGCTGCTCATCCTCTTCTTGGTGGCCGTCCCGCTTCTGTACGAATGGAGTGCCACTTTCAAGTATTTCTGTAAGATGACGTTCTACAACAGCTACATCCTCTTCCTGGCTATCATTGCGATCCCGATTTGTGCCGTCCGTGGGCGCAACGTGGAGAATATGAAGTGAGTCTGATTTAGGTGTGTGCTAGTGCAGGGGTTGCCAACCTTTTGGACCTCAGGGACCAAATTTTAAATCCCGCGGACCAGAGACCCTGGGAAAATCCCCCAAAAAAGTCTGCAGGAAAATTCCCCACCCTGTTTTCCTACCGATCGATCATTCTTTATTTGGGATCACAGAATACCGTCTCCAGCTCCGTTCTTGGGTGGGAGGGGGGGAGAGAGAGAGACTTTTGGCTTCATGCAAGGAAAGCAGCAGAAGCAGCAGAAGTCTTTCTGTCTCTCCCCCAAACTCTGCCAGAAATGAGTCTTTGTGAAACTTGTCGCACCAGCACAGCCTCTTGGAGCAGGACGCCTTTGCAGGGTCCCAACGACTCATTTCTGGCGGAGATTGGGGGAGAGAAAGAAAGACTTTTGCTTCTTTCCTTGCGTGCAGCC